GGAGAAAATTGCTTTGCAAATCCCCCAAAATCGGAGAAAGTACCAGCCAAAATTTTCTGGAGCAGGAGGGGGTGACCCTCCTATCCCCCCCCCCCCCGGTCGCGCCGTCCCTGAATATGCTTTATTCAAATATAAAATTAGATTTCCTTGACGCTATTTTCAAGTTCAAGGAAATAGATGCTTATCGACATTCGTTAATTGTTGCCTGGCCATCAAATGGTAGGACTACTATCATATATTCGTTATTTGTATATCAGAAAGATGTTCGTTTTGCTTGAAAGTCATAACATCACCTAAATTCAATATTTGAGCTACAAAATTTGAAATAGAAGCGAAGTCGATTTTTGAACAAAGAACTCAAATAGATGACAAATTTTGTGACAAAATGAGATGTTCGCTAGTTCTACACGTCATTTCATTACAGAGAAATATATTATGCCTCTGAGAACAAGTAAGAGTCAATCTTGATTTAGACTTTTCCTGTCTTTGTAAAGCCTTAAGGAGACGTAAATCTAGCCTTCAAAATACATTAGTTTATACGATGAATAAACCTTAATATTCAAGAAAAACCTGTAATGTTCAACCTAACTAACTGGTAGATATTTTAGAGAGATCCGACAACTTCTAAGAATGACTCCAATGCAGATTTATAAATGCTGTCCAAAACTAGCAAAAGTTTCGTTTTATCACAAATAATGTCGTCTGTTTAAGTTTGTTGTCGGAAAAACTAACTTCGCCTATATTTCAAATTATACAGTCAAAATATTGAGCATACGAGGGTATCTCTAGACGCTTTTCCATGGATAGTGCATACAACATGAAGTTTTGGAAATCTTCGTATCTCCTAGAAATTTTGTTCAAAATTTTTGAATCTTTTTATGAAAATTAGTCTAGTTGAGTTCTTTATTACACAAATTTTGAAATAAAAAAACTCGAAAATACGAGTTTTCAGAAAACTTGTGATCTCTAGAAAACAGGCATAATAACAGTTCGATAGTTTACTCAAATGTCCATACGAAGAGCTTTTATTAGAACACTACTTAACATCTATTGGCAAAAAAAACCATTGGAATAGAAAGAGGCCATATGACGACATTTCCTTATTAGTTGATGTTTTTAAGTGATTTTTGACTTGATCAATAAAAACTTATTTTTAATTGAATTATTTTTATGAAGGTGTTCAGAAGGAATATCTCTTTCTGTCTGTTTTGACTTTCAAGCGAAATAAACATCCACAAATAACGAAAATATGATAGTGGTCTTATGTTCTTTTTTCTTATCCAAGCAAAAATCAAAGAATTTTAATAAACATATACCGGTCTAAAAGTCAAGATTGATCGAGAGTGAACAAACAAGGTCATTCAAACACACATAGTCCTATAACTTTGATCAATAGTTGTGTATAAAAAGAACCAATGAAGATTTAATTTTCATTTTTTTGTTATTTTTAGCTTAGTCAAGGCGAATATATCGCACCGGAAAAGATCGAAGATGCATATTCACGTAGTCAATTTGTATATCAAGTATTTGTTTATGGTGATTCATATAAAAATTTTCCTGTTGCTATAGTTGTATTAAATGAAGATTATGTCAAAAAATGGATTGCAAAAGATGATAGTAATTCTCAATATAATACCGAAGAAAAATTAAAAGAAATCGTACTTAATGACATGATACGAGAAGGAAAAAAACGTGGTTTAATACCATATGAACAAGTTAAAGCTATTGAATTGATAAAAGAACCATTTACAATTGAAAATGGACTTTTAACACCAACATTTAAATCACGACGATTTGCCGTAGAAAAAAAATATAAAGATTTTTTTATAACGTTATATAAAAAAATCGATGGTTAATCTTCATAAAGATTGATGTGCACGTTTAAATCAGCTGTCCTTTTCTTTTTCTTTGTTGTTCCTTTTTATTTTATAAAGTATTCCTTTTTTTTTTGTCTATAAATGTCTGATTGTATTGATATTTAGAAACGGAAATATATCATCAAGACGATTTGCTTCTTATGCTATTGAGATCAATGATAGAATCTTAAAAACAAAACAAAAAACGAGAAAAGAAAGGAAATTAATTTTGTATAAAGATAAGCTACGAAAAGAAAAAATTTATCAAATAATTTATCGTTATTATAAGTTTTTATTTTCTAAAATATTCAGTTTTCATACTAGCTTCCTTGAAAGTATTTAATAGTGATTTATTGACCCATTTTAATCGATAAAGGAAATGTCGTTTGTACTGATGTGAAGAAAATAACATCAATGAATAACAGAAGATTGACAGAATTCGTCAAGCAGATAATATTTCATATTTCCCTTGAGATAACTTCTTCCTTGATGTCATTTAAATTGAATGCTAAAACTAACAAAATACTTCGTTAATGGAAGAAAACCTTTGTATTCTCGTGACAAGTCTTCTAATCAAAATAATGCTTTGGATTAACATAAAAAATATTTCAAGTCACGGACTTATTTTTTGCAACAGACCATTTTCTAAATTAACGTTGAGTGCCTTTTTTTTTTTTGTTATCAATCTGTTATTTTGCCGAACAATTTATTTTCTTTGATTATAGACTTTTTGTAATGATAGTGTCCGATTTAAGTGAAAGATATTTAAATACAACTTGCAAAAAAAGTATATTATTATATATTGAGAATAAACAATTATACCCTTGCTGCATTGATAGTGTTCAATTTATACTAAACCGGTTTTTAGTATAACTTGCCAAAGAAATTTCATGAAGTTATGAAAATAATTATAACTTCTCTCAATAAAAATGATTTACATTTATAAATGAAATATAGCAGATATAAGTTAGTTATTTGTTTGCAGCATTTCATAAACACAAACATTCGATTGTATATGGAATAGCATAGAAGCATCAATCATTGCTCATTTTTAAACAAGACACTTCAGTGAATAATTTCCAACAATAATAATAATAATATCAATAACAATCTTTCTTGATTCATCATTCTCATACATTTAGCAATTACATTTCAAACATCTCGTTAATTAAAAACTTCTTGAAAACACAGAATTCAATAGCTTTTATGTATATATATATATATATATGTATTTCTGTATGGGAAGTTTTATTTATGACAATGAGTGAAAAGAGAAAAACTACTCCGTAATATTCTTTCTGATTATCTCATTCTCTCTTTCTTATATGCTAATAATATATGGCACAAGAAAATAAAAGACAAGTCAAGTGGATCATGGAACAAACATTCTTTCTTATTAAATCTGGGATAGATATGAACAGATAAACATCGAAAGAGAGATTATGTACCATATTTTAATATCGTTGTCTCTTTTTTTTTATGCAGACGACCAATAATCTAAAAAAGAAACATAAAAGAAAGAAAATAGAATCAAATTTATTGAATAAAACTTACTTGCAAGTTGCATACCGCCGATAGTATCAATTCCATTCGATGCTTTTAATTGCTCTTCAGGTGATTGTTGACTTAATGATTTGAGCATTTCTTGAAATTCATCTTGATCAAGCATACGAAAACGTTTTAGACGATTGTCTAATGCGGCTTTGATTCGTTTAGCAACTCGAAATTTTTTACTGTGTGTACCTATTGATTAGAAACAAAATATAATATGATTAAATTTTTGTTTTAATAACAATAAGAAAGTTTTTCTTTTGTAAAATCATGCTACGATTGGTCAACATCTTTTTATTGACTGTTGAAGGCAACTAACGCTAAAATAAAGATGCACCTGTATGACTATTGACCGGAAATGAACGCGGCACATCATCAATTGATTGAGCCACATTATCGTCGTCTGCAAAGATCTATATAACAACAAACAAAACAAATCAAAAATATGATTTTCTTTAACAGAGAGAAATAGAATAGCTCTAGGTCTTGTTATTATTCTTTTTAATATTAATAACTACGCATATCATACAGCATGCTATTTATATAGCGATAAACTTGGCTTGTTTTTTCAATCATGTCAAAAAATAATTAAGTATCAAAATAAAATGTTGTTTAAAAGCTTATTATTGATGCTGCTTATTTATCTTTAATATATATAAGCTGATTTGTTTTGTAGAGTTTTTTATGCATGAAAATATAAATATAGAAAGTCATAAATATTCAATCTCAACAATATTCTTTTAGCATTTTACGTATAAATAAATAATAACAAATCTCTAAGGTTTTTCAAACAACTGGCCGCACAAGATAGATGATACTCGTTTTTTTTCATTATTTATTTGAAAATTTTTTTAAAACACTATCGTTTTATGTCAATATATACATATGCCAGATAAATGAGGGCAAATAGAAGACCTTGTTTTTAATTATAACACGTTTGGATAGAAAGATAATGTTTCATACTGAGTAAATCTTAAAACGTCATTAAATAATGATTATGGTTTTATCTTAATAGGAGACTTTGGATATTCATGGAGAAATAGGAATTATTTTAATGATCAATTATACTATTCCAATCGATATAAATCTAACCTAGTTAATATAAGAATATTTACCGGTAAAGCATCGGCAATTGAAGCTTGCCAAAGGAGATTGACAAATAAGAATAAAGCACAAATGGACAATGTGAATTTGAAGATCCCACCTAACATTTTTCGTATTCAATGGTGGAATTCGATAATCTGAAAATGAATCAATCATCCATCAATGTCTATCAAATGAAAACTGAGCAAAACCCTAAGGCTTTTTCTTATTTTTCCCTTCAAGATATCGAAGAAAAAGCGCACGACGCCTATTAGGAAGTGCTGACACACGAATAATGACGATGATGGAACAGCATCCGGAGACTCCCTCCCGGCTTTATAGTTTCGTGACACGCGCTTAACTTGCTTTTCTTAATGTGCGTGCATGTGTGTATATATATGTTTTCTATGTCGTGATTGAGCATCATTTAGATTTATGCATTCAATGTATATGCCAAAATAAAATAGAATAGACCTACATTTCAAATATAATCTACTTGACAAAAACATACAAATTATATTTCTATTACTAATGTGCTTGTTTTCGTTGCTTTAAAAACTTATCGCTGACATGTGAATAATTTGTTATTCTTCTCATTAAAATGATATGTTTCTAAAAAAAACATTTCAAATAAATATAGCATTCAAATGATATGAAACTACTTTAAAATAGTAATTTTCTCTCAATCTGTTCACATAATTATAAAAAAAAAAACATTTCAATTTCTCTGCTACTGATGTTGTCGATATTAAAAAAGACAGAAATGTTAATCAAGAGAGATGTTTTTCTCTATTTCAAAGTATCTGCTAGAGACTTTTAACAATAGAATTCTGTTATATCTCTCATTGACGGCATGATAGTCATACTTATCAAAATTGTCTAAGCTAATTAAAACGAACTAAGAACCAACGGATGGGAGCATCCAACACTTTTCGATCTTCATGTATAAATGAGCATAACGTAAGTTAACTTACTTAAACAATAAGTCTCTAGAGTAATGAACACTAAGAAGATGAACAAAAATTAAATTAGATATAAGAAAAAAAAAAGAGAGAAAGAGAAAGAAACCGTCGGTTATGACCAAAATAAATAGATTAATAATAATAAAAAATAAAACTCAAACTACAATATTTTTGTTATTCACGTTCATTTTCTAAATTTATCTAAAGAAACATAAATATACTTGCTTGTATGATTTAATTTTTCTTTGTTTTCTCTTATAACAAAAAAAAATGATACATTGCTATTATTACCACTCCTCCTTCTCGTTTTACTACCTAACCAGAAAATAAAAAATCTCTTGTTTTTTTTTTTTTTTGCTGATACTCTCTTCGCCTTTTCTCTTTGTCGATAATAACGTCTTTTCTTCTCTCTCTCTCTCTCTCTCTCCTCTCATTTTTCTTCATTGAACATTACGATCAAAGAGGCAAGTATAGTATAGTAACTAAAGCATAGTCATACAACAGATCTCGCTGTGCTTCCATCAACAACAAAGAACGGCATGATCGAGTGCCGACGTAATAAAGAAAAAGACAAAATGAAGCTCTCTATCTTTTCCCCTTTTGTTTAAGAGGTTTCTCAGCGAGCAAATGCATTTATAAAGGAACTAATGCGTCGTCAACGAGATCATATTTTAATGAAAAAATAAATGAAAAAAAATCAATCAACTTGATATGATTGACATATAAACATGATGGATAAATACACCTTGCAATAAAATTAATTAAATTTCCTGGATTTTTTATTCACAAAAAACATCATTTCAATGTCTGTAAATTATTATCGAATCAAAAATAGATGCATAAAAAAAAGAAAGAATCCATATGTAAATCTCTCACACTAAAAATGAGATGCAAATCTTTTCATCATCAATAAACATTAAAGAATATCTATTCCATGAAGATAAGAATAATTATTGTAATATATGAATACGATCTAAATTTTTATAAAGTTGTTTACACAAAATTATTACAAAAAGTGAAATATAACATCATATTTTCTCTATGCTTCTATTGTTCTTGTTTACATGGAATCTTAATATATTTTTTTTCAATAAATTAGAAAAAATCAATTTTTCTTCACAATGCACCCAAAAAACTACAGCTAACTTTAATAAAAATCACAAAACACTACCATAAAAATACGTATACTTATGAAATGAATAATATGAAAAGTTTTATCACAGAAAAAACAAAAGAAAAATTTAGAATAAATGTGATTAATCATTACGAGAAGCCATATACAATAAAATACCAAAAACACTTGTCAATGTCATCCATGCAATAGTTCTTGATGATAAATTAGTCTTTTGTTCTTGCATTCCTTGAATATAGATTAGAAATTTATAATAAATATTATGATGACTTACTTTTATGTTCGATAATAAATGGAGGTGTTAAACTTTCAAAACTTTTTATAACAGCTTTTTTCCATGCAGAAAAATTTTCTTCACGTTCTATTAAATATATTCATAGAAAAATAAATAAAAATAGAAAAAAGCTTTTTCTTACGTTTTCCTTGTATTCTTGGTATATATAAACTCATTTCCGTTTCGATTTCACTTTCTATTTCTAATTTAAATAAATCAATTCCTTTTGCTTTCCCAGCAGCAAGTGCAGCACCTAACGCTGTTGTTTCAAATAAACCAGGTGTAGATACATGTATGCCAACAATATTGGCAAGCATTTGAAGAAATAATTTATTATTTGCCATTCCTCCATCGACTTTTAGCTTTGAAAGACGTACACCACTATCATCATACATTGCATCAATAATCTAATTGTTTATAACAAAAACAAAAAAAAACAGATTAAAATCAAAAGAATATTAACAAAATTACCTCACGTGTTTGATAACAAATACCTTCGAGAGCTGCTCGAACAACATGTGCTTTTGTTGTATATTGAGTCATACCCATAATCAAACCTTAAATATATACAGATAAATTTTTTTGTTTTACATTTAAAATATTTTGTTTTAAAAAATTAACCTCGAGCATCAGATCTCCAATAAGGTGCAAATAAACCTGAAAATGCAGGAACAAAATAAACACCACCGGTATCTTTTACAGTAGCCGCTATTGTTTCTAATATATAAAATGAAAACCAACAAGTAACAAATTACTATTTTGTAGTGTATTATCGAGCAAACCAGTGCTTTTCGAATCTGGAATCAATCCAAGATTGTCACGCAACCATTTAATACATTCACCGGCAATAGCGATAGAACCCTAATTAACAGAATTATATCCATAAATAAAATAGATTTCTATTTTCTTCTAATAGCACACACACACATAGTATTATTTACGCACTTCGAGAGCATAAACAGCATTATCATTATTCCATTTATATGCAACTGTTGTTAAAAGACCATTTCGAGAATAAGCTAAATCTTCACCTGTATTGTATAAAATAAAACAACCAGTTCCTATTTAATACGAAAAAGCAATATGAAAAATGTCATTCATTATCATCTTATACCATATCTAAATATCAAGAAATAAAAAATGTTTATTAAAGTTAAAAAAAGAAAAGAAAGTTATTCATACGTGCTCTTTGCTGTTCCTTTAGCCAAGCATTGTTGTCCAACTAATGCAGCTTGTTGATCACCGAGTACCTAGAAATCAATAATAAAAAGAAACATCATAATAATAATGTCACATTTGTATTTCTTACTGCTCCAACAGGAACTCCTTGAAGTAAACCTTTGTTAATATAACCAAATATTGTTGCAGATGATTTAATCTCTGGCAAAATATGTTCAGGAATACTGAAGAATCTATTAATAAAAAGAATAAGTTTTATTTAAAGTATTAAATGATTTTCATACTCGCAAAGTTGAGAATCCCATTTAAGATTGCGAATATTCATTAACATTGTTCCTAAAAATAAACAAACGAGTATCGATTTCTTTTTTCTCATAAGATTGAGAAGACATCAAGAGTGTAAAAGTTATTTATTAATATATTTAGTCAAGTGAAGATTATCAGGCATAAGAATCCAGAGTGGTCTCGAGGTCGCCATGATTAGAGGGGAGGGAGAGAGTGATAATTAAGAAAGCCACCTGGAAGATGCTTGTAAGGTTGAAGTGTTAAAACTCCAGTGGGGCAAAACGAAAATTTTTCAAAATTGACGGACACCATCTCAGAACATCCCTACATAAGAAACATTTATTTGAATCATAATCAACAAGTGGCACATAATAAACGGGACAAAATGCTTTCTTCTTTTTTTAAGGCATTTCTCAATATATCAGAAACTCTATTTCAAGCTCGTTCGATAGATAGTTTGGTGTTCTGTAAGACTACTGGATTTTTTCCAAATAACTGTGTTTATCGGTGGAATTCATAAATGTTTCAGGGTTTTCGAAGAAATATATGGTATGAAAGTCTTTAAATTAAAGCATATGAAAAGAGTTTTCTGGTAGAATGACGTCATTGTTATTTGTAAATTCGACAAATTCTAACATTTCTACTCTTTCATTAAATCGTCATATTATTTTATTCCCAATTAAATTCTATACTCGGCAACATGAGAACGAACGTGTCATAAAGTCTCGTTTTGGAAAACATGACTTTCTAGAATGCATCTCAAAATATCACTTAATGTTGATTCAATGGCTTTTCTTCTGAGCAATAATAATAGAAATCTGTGAAAGGTCATGGAGACAGTGAGCATGCAATTCTATATCTTTTGATGTCAAATACTTTACGTTTAGCATAAGTCTTGACACAAATCGACAGATGTCTGCAGAAAATAGGAAATTGCAGTTAGATGATTGAGTAGGTGTTCATCTTTAAAATTGTACATCGACAAAAAAAAGGAAGTTATTTGGAAAAACAAAGACCGCAGTCTTCTATAATAGGAAATTCTCTATCGAATGAGCGTAAAACAAAGTTTATAATGTGCTGGGAAGTGCCTCTAAGAAAAAAAGGAAAATGCTATCTTCCGTTTATTTTGCGTCACTCGTTATATAATTATTGATAGAGTCTTTTTATAGTAAAATAAGTTGTACTATTCTTACGGCTAGCATTTGTTACGTCAGTTACATGTACAGTATTTTTACCATCGGAAAGTAAATTCTAATTAAAACACAAGTAAATACAATATAAAATGATTGAATTTTTTTTCTTCATTACATAAAGTAGCCAACTATCAACAGTCCCAAATAAACATCGTTTTTCTTTAATCGCTTTTCTAACATTATGATTATTATCAATTAACCATCGAATTTTTAATGCTGAAAAATAAGTTGATAATGGTAAACCGCATTGTTCCTTGAAAAGAAAATCAAACTCAAGATTTCTATTCTAATTGAAAAGTCAAAATTTTATTCAACAAACTTGTAGACAATCTCTGTGTGTATTAAATTGTCTTAAAAGAAAATCAACTGTTTCTTGTGTTCGTGCATCTAACCAAACAATAGCATTATGTAATACTTTTCCAGTTTCTTTATCCCATAAAATTGTTGTTTCACGTTGATTTGTTACACCAATAACTAAAAAACCACAACAGAAAACAAAATTTTCAATTTCCATTTTTTATTATTATTTTTCTTCTACCTTGAATATCCGATTTATCATAACCTAGTTCTCCTAATTGTTCAACAGCTTTTTCCATGCATAGAACAGTTTTTTCAAGTATTTCATTTGGATCTTGTTCAACCCAACCAGGATTTGGTGTTAAAATTTGAATAGGTTCTTGATGATATGTTATTAATTCAAGATTTTCTGCATTAAAAATCTTTTAGAATAGAAAAAACAAATACGTGTTCTTATTTTATTTATTTCTTCAAAGAACATACAAGAAATCGAGATGATGATGTTCCTTGATCAATAGCACCAACGAGTTTTTTCGTTGATGAGTTAGATTTTTTATTCGGCATCTGCACGTTGATCAGTTAAAAAAGATCTATATATTTATCACATATGAGAAAAAAGAAAAACGAATCGATTATTGTTAACAACTATTGCTACTTCGTTTTTTTTTGTTGAGAACAAATAGTATTCGATCAATTAAAGAAAATATGATAATAATAAAAGAATAAAACAAAAAACTTTATCACAGAAAAAAGAACGTAGTATACTATATTATGATAAACATGCAGATTATTTTGGAGGTTGATTTTTATTTTGATAAATCATTTTATGCCATCTTAGTGCTTCATATGCACGTTCATGACTTATTTCATGTTCGCCATATATTGTATTTAAAACATCTGGAAAATATTGTTTATTTTCTTGTATATTTTGAAGAATCTGCTTTGTTTCCATTGTACTATTATTTGGTGTAAATAAAAATTCTTGCCATGTAGTTTTACGTCGTGGATTATATCTTAAATAATTATAGGTGCCTAACCAACCATTTTGTTGAAAACGATAGAAAATATAACGTGCTGTATCTTTTTCGATTGTTGGAATGTGTTCATGAAATGTTGTTCGTGTTAAAGCAATTGGTTCGATATCGAAACTAGCATGAGGAATCTTTTCTCGAGCAAAGATTCGCATTGATGCATTTATACGATCTTCGGAAGCAAATTCAATATCACGCAACATCTAAGAGATAATGATAAAAGCAAAACAAAACAAAAAAAATTAGGTAGAACATAAAATAAAAGTTCATGTTTTTTTTTTTAAGAATGAGATTACTATAAATCAGCGGGCAATCAAAAATCAGAATTTAAAAAAACATATACTTAATCTATTTTACTTTGAAATATTTCTAATTTATATTGTTTACTATTGGTAAATGAAACTATTAGTTAATAATAAGAAAATCTTAAGTGAAATTTTTCTATATATTTCTAACTTACATATATCCAAGCAGTTGCTGGATAACTGTTTGCTTTAACATGCTTTTCTAATATTTCAGGAAGAATAATTGATATAAATAATAATTGTCCTTGAATTGGATAACGTTGATTAGTAACAAATATACTTGAAAATATTCCACCACTTGATGCACCAAATGTAAAACGTGGTAAAGTTTCTAAAGAAACAAACAAACAATAAAATTCTCCTGTAAACTGTTTAAAGAGAAAAAAAAAGAAATATCTTTGCTTTATTTTACCTAATTTTGGAAATTCTTTATAAAATCCCTCAAGTCCTTTAAATACCATTTGTGCATCAACATTTTGATTAATATCAACATTATTTGACCAACAACGCGTAAAATCATCTGTCGCTTGAAATGCTAAACAACCATAACCAATATTAAGAGCAGCGCCAATAATACGTTGTCGTTCAATCGTATGAAACCAATCATGTGCTGAACGACTGCAACCATGAAAAATTAATAATAAAGCTGATGGACGAGGAGTTTTTGGTAAACGAAATAATATGTCAATATTATTAGAATATGTTCGTTTTTCATATGTCAATGTATTAGGTTTCCTATAATTAAACTCACGATATTTTAATTTTCTATCTTCTACACTTTCTCCTCTTATTCTTCGAGCATTAGGATCAACTGGATATATAATTCTAGTAAAGTCAACTAATGCAGTCGATACTAACAAATGTAAATAATTAAAAGATAAATATAATATTAAGGAAAAACCTAGAAAAAAACAGCAGAGAGCAGCAGTTGAAAAAAAAGTCGGATATTGCATGATCAATCGATAATAAAGCATCCAGTAATGTTGACGTGCACGTTGTGATTTCATACCGTTCCAATTTAAAGAATGTGTATTTAAGTTCAGCTTCATTTTTTTTAGTGCATATATCATTGAATTGTTAGAATTTCTACATTCATAAATCGATTAACAACTCTTTATTGATAAATGATAAATGTATATATTGAGTATATTGTATCGATCCCTTTCACCAATAAACCAATGAAATATAAGAGCGATGTCGACACTTACAATTCCAATAAGTAATGCATAGACGTATGGTGTTTACTGTTGATTGTTTGTCTTTTTTTTCCTCTTTTCCTTATCTAATGTGACATTCGATCGATAATTAAAATAGTAAATAAAAAAAAAAATTTGTTCTTTTTTAATAATGAAAATTCTACTTTTATTTAGATGTATCATTAGATATGATTCGTTTATCTTAAATATATATATTTATCTATCAATATTGAGTACTTTTCTTTTTCTTTTGATATTTTATTTTACTACTAATATACACAAAATATATGGGTAGCCGTTTAACAACTCCGCCATCATCGGCATCATCATCATCGACAACTGCTCATCGACCAACAGCTGCAAATACATCAACAAATTCAAATCTTACACGTACACAGTCAAATAGTACAAATCATCATTATCAACAACAACAGACAGTACATCATCGTCATCGTTCAAATAGTAGCCATCGTCATTCTCATGGATTATTTGGTAATAATGCAACAAGTAATAATCGACATCGAACAACATCAACAAATATTGATCCATTAGGTGCAACAACATTTAATTTAAATTTATTACGTTATGTTGGACTTGAACATGAATCGGATGATCAAAGTTCTGATGATGATTCTCCACAAGCTCATCGACGTTTACAACATTTTATAATTACTCTACGAGATGTTCCTTGTCCTGTATGTAACAAAACAATACCAAGCGATTCATTTGAAAAACATATTTTACAATGTCTATCAAAACCACGAATAGATTATAATGGTTTGTTTGGAATAGAAAAAAAATAATAATCTTCTTTTACTTTATTTATTTTTTTATTCTTATAGAAGATACATTAACTGAAGATAAAGGTGAATGCGTCATTTGTCTTGATGATCTATTAGTAGGGCAAAAAATTGCTCGATTACCATGTCTTTGTATTTATCATAAAAGGTAAAATATAAAACAAGCGAAACAATTTTAGAAATACAAATTAATAGTTTTCTGTTTTCTTTTTTATATAATTAGTTTGTTCAGAAGGGATCTATACAAGTTTGAGACAAAGATTTTCATTTTATATTTAACATTTTCTTATTATTTTATATGAACTTAATGATTTTATTTTTATATGGAGAATATCTGTTAAGATTCGAAAAATTTGAAAAATGTTAAGCACATGACTGATATGCGAATATAATATGAGTTTAACTTGATCTTGATGGATTACATATTTTGCTGACATATGACACCTTTGTTTTTCTTTTCTTGTGAATAAGAGACACAGTTTTATGTGTAAAAGTGAATAATACGTTTGTCTATGCCAGATTTGAAACAGTGCAACAGATTGGTAGATTTGTCAATATACGAAAGATTAATCTATAGAAAATAAAACAAGATAATCAAAAGCGTATTATTGATTAAACTTTATGTCAACTTGTTGGTGAATCGCAATGCATAATATATTTCGGGAGAACTTATGCAATTGAATGTCTCATGTCAAAATAACTTTAATAGACATGATAAATAATTTATAGGTCATAATAAAAATGGAATTTTCTTTTATACAATTAAATATCAATTCATTGTTTTGTAGCTTTAATAAATTAAATAATCTACTTATTTATAATACAAAGCAATAAAATGAAAAACAAAAACTATTTGAAAACTTCATTTTTTTTTTCTTTTTGTTATTGAATTTTTGATAGAATTATATATCTGTTTCATTTATTTAGCTGTATCGACAGTTGGTTTCGTATCAATAGATCATGTCCTGAACATCCCGGCGATTAAAATATATATTTAGATATTCTCATAGAAATCTTCTAGTTTGTTTTTTGAACTTCGTTTATTCTTGTTTATTTTTTTTATATTCGTTGCGTGTGTACATATGAACATACGCGCATCAATTTCATGTCTTAATTTTTCTTCAATCAATCCAGCGTTTAAAAACGTATTTACTATGAATTCTTTTAATTGTCTATTTCCTATTATTATGGAAAGAAAATCTACTGGTTCACAAAATAGCAAAGATGATTAACGTACAAATACATGAACGAATTGCTTCCGTCCGTATGGTAGACGTTCTTTGTTTGCTTTTTTGGGTCTTGAAAAAATACAAATGCATACAGTGAAAAAAAAAAGCCCATCTCTCTTGCGCACACTTGCTTATATTTTGTTTTTCGTATATAGAATAAAATAGCGACAGCAGTTGAAAATGATATGAGAGAGATTTTATTTTGTATAAATGTGTCTTTCACAAAATTCATTACTGTTGTTGTGTCAATTGAGTTATACACATTGACTTACACATGAAAGTATTAAAAACACATACACACGTGCATATATACATATATATGTATGTATAAATTTCTCATGTTTCTTTTGAAATTGGTTTATATATTTTTTGTTTTCTGAATGTTTCTAGTATATACTTTTCTTTGTCTGGTAGACGAGTAAAACAAATACGCCTGTTTGTGGTTAAATATTTTTTCTTGTGGCTGTTGTGTTTGTTCTTATTATTATCATTCATACTGTACATTGTTGGTCGTCTCTCTCTCTCTCTCTCTCTCTCTCACACACACAACTACTGTATCTTTGTTCGGCTTTCCTTCCTTTTTTTTATAAAAAAAAAAAACATAATACAACTTTGCTGACTGACAGACAAATATATAATGTGCATAAAAAGGAGAAGTTAAAAAAAAATACCTGTTCTTTTTAAAGATGTTTTACAATTGGAGTGCTTTTTGGCAAGCAACTGCTGCAAGCATATTTACATACTTTACAATTCATCATTTTATAGCTAGATTTATTTCTAAAGATGCACGACATCATTGGAAACATACTAATATATCAACATCGTTTATTCATTCTATTCTTTCATCTATTATGAGTATCTATCTGTTAGTGAATAATTAAATTGAAACAAAAACAAAAACAAAACATATTTATTTTTCGTTTGATTTAGTTTTATTGAAAATCCTGCGATGTGTACAACAGATATAATATCGTCATTTACGCCAAATGCTTATTCCTATGTTTCATTCGAATTTGGTTTGTTATATTTTTTAAAATCTATGTATTTTATTTTTCTTTTGTTGAAATAAATTTTTTTTTTTTATTTAGGTTATTTTATTTTTGATTCAATTGATAATTTACGAAATCCATCCGGTCGACACACATACGAAATTCTTTTACATCATATCACTGTAAAAAAAAACACAATATTTAATGTTATTTACAGCAATAAATTGATGTATTTCTTTTTTGTTCTATTTTAAATATATAGATTTTTGGATGTTTTGGTATCTCACTTTATCTTGGTCGCTATATTGGTTATTGTGTTATTAGTTTATTTATGGAAATTAATAGTATTTTTTTACATTTACGACAATTAATTTTACTATCCAATAAATCAAAACATGATAGAATTTATCGTATTAATACTATTATTAATTTAAGTAAGTTGTATTATTAAATCATTCTCTGGAAAGTTTCTCTTTTTTGCAATTAGAATGAATATAATTATAATCAAGGTCATTTATTCAATTGACTTTGTGCTATTGAAGATAAATAGAACAACATACTCAAACATAAAAGAAATACTTCTAATTTCTTCCTAGGAGATCACTATAGATTTATAAAAGGATTTTTTAAGAGCTTCTTAGCAACTCTCTTGAATAAGTTTGAAAACAATGCTTTTCTTAACATAAGTATTCAATTAAAACAAAGACTAAAATTGTTTTGTCACTGAAAATTAATTTCTTTATATGATGTATTGATTATTTCAGGTACATTTGTGATCTTTCGTTTTGGTGTTGTTATATTTATGTGTATATGGTTAATAATGAATCGATCGAATGTACCATTGATCCTTTCTTGTATTGGGCATTCGGGCTTGTCAATAATGACAATAATCAATTGTTACTTACTTTATCGATTAGTAAAAAGTGATTTTTCAGTTAAACATGAGTAATGTTTTTTTTCTTTCTATGAATATACTTCAAATATTGTTATGAATTGTTTTGATAAAAGATTTCTGATAAATATCGAACAATGTAAACAACGAATCATTTTTGTAATTTATTAATAAAATATTAGTATTAATTAAACATTGTGAATACTGATTAGATGTTTCACTTTTTCCTCAATTTTCTTGTCTACTTGCTATATTGTGAATTGTAGAAGAAAAAAAAAACTTATGAACAATTCTTCATGAGCACGCAAAAGAATATGTCAAATGCAGGAGATAAATGGTTTCTGTAATAACATATTTCAAAATAATGTCATAATCAATTGGCGTCAAAACAAATCATAAACCTAATCGATGGCCTCGGTTTTTTTTTAATATCTCAAGACAATTTAAATGGATTGAATTACAATTTTCGTTAAAATCTAGTCCTTGATCATACACCATACACAAAAATGTAAAGTCATAAAGATTAAAAATCTCGTATTACATTCTTTTCACCTAGAAGTTATATTGTTTATAACGATTTGATTAAAAAAGCAAGCGAATATTGATTAAAAAAAAATTTCAAATATGCTCTCTTGTTGAAAAAGGCAAAACGCGAAGTATACCGGCGTAGTCAGGAAATCATGGGTGGTACCGCCGTGCTCTGAGATCTTGGATAAAATCCGTAAAGCATAATGTCAACAATGATAATGATTACATTTTTCTTTCTGCTAATAGTAGGGCGGGTACTCGGATTTGACCATGCCACTAACAAAGTACAATGTTCAACTATCTTTGTGTTTGATGTATAATCAATTTAAAGTGAAATCGAAATACAACATTTTTAATATTTCTGATCTGGCAGAGTGAATACATGACACAGGTGAGCAGAAACTATAAAAATGGGACTGTGTTTTAGCAAAAATCGTAACTCAATCTATTGAAGTCATCGTCAGCTATTAGACAAACATGTTATTTAGGCTAGGTATAATGATCAATCTTGCAGAAAAATCTTTCTTATAAAATGCCATTGTCATATTAGATTTCGTTCAAGTTGAATTAATTAATTATAGAATGATTAATTTGAAAATTTGTAAACAATTGAAATATTTTTCAAAGATTATTTATCCATAAAGAGATGCCATTAAATAGAATGCTTGATATCTATACCATTTTGAAAGCTGATATGATTTTCTGAACTGAAGACTTATGCATTATTTTATGTGACAGAATTGATATGAAATAAAATTCTGATTTCATTAATTTAGTTTGTATGCATCGAAATCATATCTCTTCTTACACACAAAACAAAAAGAATCTCTTCAAATATAATTAAATGATAATTGAATTTTTTTTTTTATGAAACACGATCTAAAAGGAGTGTTGACGTATTGAAATACAAAATTGAACACAGTCTTGCCCATCAACCATGACAGACACTAGTTAACGACCATTACAGATTGCATATAAATAGTATTCCATTATAATATATGAACTACTTCCTTATTGTATTTCAAAAGGATTATATCAAAGGATTATGAAGAAATATATTCCAAAATAGAATGAATAAATCACTTCTCCTGTGATTAGCACCAATAGCAGCATCGTTTTAAACATTTTAATCTCATAGGGATTGCATTAATAGTTCTTTTTTTCTAATCAAAGAAGTATTTCAGCTATTTATACATATGAAATTAAATTATCATTTTGTTAATTAGCAAATCATTTTTTGACTATGACAATTTAACATTAGAAAACTAAACCTCATCAATATTCTATTATCAATGAATGAACAAAATCCTAATTTTCTTATCTTTTATTTGTCAAACAAAAGAAACCAACAAATAACTTGATCGAGAAAAAAAGATCCACACAGATTTGTATTGAAATAGAACAATAAACGAAAAAAAAAACACATAAACCTATTTTTTTATTTAAGACATCCACAGATATACGCAACATTTATTATCTCTTGGTTTTTAAACACAAGAAAACAAAAACAAAACAAATACCAAACTAATTTGTTCATTAATATCGTTGATAACCACCACGACGATTTTTTTGTCCACCTGATTGTGCACCACTCGGTGGTCTATAAAGTTGTTTTTCTGGTCGAGCACGTTTATTTGTTGTATTAGCCGAACCAGAAGCAGTAGAAGTATTTGTTCCAACACCATTTTTATTTGTTGTTGCACCTCCATCACTTTCTGAATGTGATCGTTTTAATTCTTCCTATATAAACAACAAAATAATTCAAAATCAATGTGTTTTCTTATTCTTTTGAAAAACAAAAGATTTACTGTTGGTTTCCATGAAAGAATAATATTGGATTTAAATGATGGTGGTGACCGACATAAATCACGTATCATTATTTGAACATTGGAACATATTTTATATGCAATTAATCGTGTTTTTTTCTATAAATATAAAATAATTAAACATATAGGAAAAAAACAAACAAACTTGTTCATCTTGTTCATCGCCTTCGACTTTTCCATTCAATGCATTTTTCAATTGAGTTGTATATGATGATGCACCACGATAAAGATAACGTAATCTAAAAAATAGAGTCTTCTATTGTTTTTTTCTGAGTGAAAGAAGAAAAGTAAAATTATTAAACCTTAATCGAAAATCTTTAACACGTTCTTCGTTTTCTTCTGCAATAAGAAAATCAGGATATTTTCTTGATAATTGATGTAATCCATACATTAAACATTCAATAAATGAAAATTGAAAATCAGGTGTTACATCATTTGTACCTGTTTCAGATTCAACAGGCGGTTCTGGTAAAAATGTCTAAAATAGAATAAAATTTCTCATGTTGCTATTTTTTTTTTGTTCATAATTGAAATAAAGAAAAATGTTTGTTTTTTTTTCTTATATACCATAAGAACATTGAATAATTTTGCTAAACGTTCTTTTGGTCGATCAAATTCCGTACAAAATGGACACATTTCAGCAAGTATACGAAATAAATCAAGTTTATCATCAGATGATAATGGTAATTTATCAATATGTTCAATAACATAATCAAGCATAAATACAACAAATTTTGTTGAATGGACATTTTTCTAAAATTTATATTTAAGAAGAAAAAAAATTATAAAACCATATTTTTTTATTTTTAACATTAGTATTGTGAAACATGATTTAAAACGGAATGGGTTTGAAGTTTAGAAATAAAATGTTGGACATTCTGATCCGTAGACATTAGTCAAAGACTATTACAGATCGTATATCAATATCATCTCACTATGAGATATGAATTATTTTCTCATTGCATTTACGAAAAGACTTAGTACAAGAATGGTGAAGAAGTGTGTTCGAAAATAGATAAAATAAAAGAATTTTCCTATGATTAGTAATAGTAGGTGTATCGTGCTTCACATTATTATCCCAGTGAAATTGCGCTAACAGCTTTTTTTTTGCAAATTATTTTAATTATCATGGTTAAAAATAGTAAACTAAAATCCATGAAAAGATAAATACATTATTAAATTCTTAAAAAATTACTTCTATGCTTTATTCCCTATTCCATAATGAATCGTGTCTATATATACCTAAACTGTGAACATATAGACAATGTAGTCTGAAAATTTTTTTAATCATAATACTGTTTCGTTATCAAGCAGAAAGAAACTGATTTCTATGGTAGAAAATCTTCAGTAAAAAGAATTAAAAATGAAGCCCTGCTTTCTATTGATTTTCCTTTATTTCTGATCGTTCCTGTTGATTCAAGACTGATAGAAATCTATCAAAATATGATTTCATTCTGGAGTAGATTCAAAATGAAAACGATTCTATTTAGTAATGTTCTTCTTTCTCAACTGTATCTATTGCAAAAAAAAAAAAAAGAAACTTAATTAAAAAAACTAAATACTCTTCATAAGAAAGTTTCTTTTCTATATGATCCCTCTGTATGATATTAAATATTGTAATCAAAATTCTTGATGACAAACTATAACTTACAGAAAGTAAACTCGTTGCATGACCCATAAATATAGCTACAAGACTAAGACGATCAGTATCAACGCCCTATATAATAAAAACATAGATCAATAATAATTAATAGTTTCAATCGAGAAAATCAAAATTTTTCTTACATTCCATCCTTGTTCTAAATGACATTGATTTATAATCATATTAACCAGTTCTTGCCGAGCAATTAATGTTTGCATTGAACGAAGTGTTGAAAGTAATTTAATAATTGTAACAAATTCTTCTGAATCAAGTTCTGATGCAATCTAAAAACAAAATTTATCAACGATAAAAAAAAAATCAATTGAAAAATTTCATACATACATCTTTACATGTTTTAACTAGATGTTCTTCAATATCTTTAGGTAAATCCGTTTCATCTAATGTTGCTATTCGACTGCATAAAAATCCTAATAACAAATTTTTTTAATATGACAAACAATAATTTTAGAAAGAAAAAAAATGAACATACGAAGAGCACGTTTACGAAGTAAATCTTCTTGAGAACGTTGAATTTCACTAAGAATTCCACCTATTGTTTCTATTAAATAAAAAAAGATTAATATTGTTTTTTTTTAGTGCCGGTGCAAAGAGGTCACTACAGTCAAACTCTAAGACAAGTTCACAAAATTGAGTTCGAAATCATTTACTACATAGCAAAACATAAGTTGCACGTAACAACTGTCCACCAATGGGATGATTATAGAGTTTTATTAGAAACTCAAACTTGTACAATGTTTTCGAGAAAGAAAGTACACAAAATTTGCCGCGCGGAAGCAATACAAACTTTTTTATACACTTAGAGAACTTACAAAGGAATGTTTTCAACTGATCAATGACTGAATAATGGGTTATCGACTATGCTGGACAAGAAGAAATACCTTCAGATCTGTATATACTGGTTTTTTAGAATAGTTTTGTATTTACTCAGAGTATATCGAGTTGCCTATAATTTAACAATATTTTGTTTTCCAAAAATGAATTTCAAGTAAAAAAAAATTATCATCCTGAATATTTTTACATTGAAATGTCTTGTATTTCCTGCAAAAAAATAATAATTTCAAATAGACCAGAGTTATTGTTTTCTAGACTATTCGATATTCTCTATAATCTGAACACACCTTTTCAAAAAATCAACATAGTCAATAACCTATAATAATCCAGAATGTTTCGTTAAAAAAACAACTGATCAGTTGCTATCGTTCTCTCATTAGTTATCAAATAAGCCGCATAGTCAGTTCTTCCATTGTGATAATATTTTCAAAATGTTCATCTATTATCAATAAGAGTAATAAATCTTGTATGGTTATTTGAGAAATTTTGAGCTTAGTTAACAATATACTTTGAAAACGTTTCGATTTGTTGTAGAAAATAATGAAGTATTTCGATAATTTCAAACGTGAAATAGATTCATTACATAAAGTCTTTACAAATTGATGTGAAACTATCTCTCGATCCCATTGTTACTATGTATTTTACTTTTATCTTATCATTGAATTTACCTTTTGGATTAATATGATATATCGTCATAATGGAATTTTGTACTTGTGTTACTTCACTTGTATCATTTGCTTGAAGTAATTGTATAAGTACACCAATAACACGTTGAAGTGTATCATTCGATGCCCGTACTAATGTTGGAAATTCTTTAATTGCTAATTTACGAATCTAAATTACAAAAATAAAAACAAAAAAAAAATATTTAATTATATGAGTTTTATTTAATTCATACGGTTATATCTTCATCTTCACATAAATCAATAACAGCTTCTATTGTTTTTGTCATTTCAGCAGGAAAATTTTTACAAAATTTAGCAATAAATTGTAATGCTAATTTTTTTTCTTGTGGTCCTTGTTTAATTGCTTCAATTAAGTTTTTATATGCATCAAGAGCTTCAGATGAATTATTTGTACCATTTTTA